AGGTTCGTCGTCAACAAAAAGACCAACAACGAGCTCGCAAACAGCTCGGTGCACGTGGAGGTGGAGCTCCTCGTGGTGGAAGGGGAGGCTATCCGTGGAAAAGCGAAGTAGTTTGCTTATCGGTATATTTTCTTGCTTGTAAATATTCATGGGTTTTGTCTTGTATCTCATAAAGAGTTTTCCTGTTAACTTGTTATGAACTCGATTCTGAATTTCATCTTTGATAAATCTGACATCTTGAAACTTCTTGTTGTAGCCATTCTTGTAGCATCTTCAATATATGTCAATTCAAACAAGGTGGTAATTGGGAATAACCTAGGATCCTAAGTTCTACTGACTGTTTGCAACGATTCGTATGTCACCGAATTGAATTGAATTTTGTCTTGAAAATTCGAATTTTGTTTAGAAAAATTTGCATATGTTTTTCTGAACTCAATTGCGAATGAAAGAGTCGACACAGTGGTAGCACAATAGTTGTGGTGGCGTAGTACCATATCTGAATTCGAGTGGTAAATGATGGTGTTTTTTCTTACTCGTAGACTAAAATTAGTACCGACAGGGCGAGTGCGAGTGTAATATAATATCTGTTTTGCAGAAGTTTGAGGCTGCAAGGCTTTTTCATCGATTAATTTTTGGTCTTTACAATTCTGGTAACCCATTGCTATTCAAAGGTTCACCGGACTTTTCCAAAGTTACTATGGTGGATTCGCAGCTTTCACAATGGAAGACTACACAATAGGTGGATATTAGGTGTGCAGCTACAAAGGGGCGGTACTGCTACACTTAGTGAAAGTATAGCCCGTTCGTTTGGAAGCAAAACGTATGAATTTGCGGGTCGTTGTTTTCACTGCACTATCGCACTCACCCGCGGCATACACGGTAGAGTTTGCCTCTTCGCAGCAGTTAGCCCAATATTCATGATCCAACGTGGAGCCAATCATGTCCTTAAAGGAACAATTCCAGACGAATTTCGCGGGGTAAGAACGGTCGATAATGAAACTGTGGATGCCGAGTTGACTGCAAATGGGAAAAAAGCAAAGAAAACCGCCAATGAAGCCCTCAAATAAGGACTCCCTCTTTCCTCTTGAAATGAAGGAAGGGGCGGGCCGGACGAGCTGTCCGAACTAGCTTGCTCCGCCGGCATTTATTGCTGGCTCGTGCCAGCAAGAAATGCGCTGCAATCGCATACGCACACAATGGATGCGTATAAATTGAGGTGGCGTGTTCTGCAACATGGGAGCCGCAAGGTGTGCTCGGAAGGCAAGATGTTCAACTCCAGCCATATATTGGAACTACTGCTTACCATTCCGAGAATTCCCAAGTCCCCTTC